TTTAAATTGGTGTTGGAAAACCAAATGAAATAAAAAAATTCAGTAGTTATGATGAAACTGTGAACAAAATGCATCTATAAATTAATTTAGTTGTATGTCCACTCATATGCAGTTTTTTTATAAATACAGTATAGTACTGTAAATGTATTTTCCCTATGATTTTCTTCAATTTTTTTCTACCTTACTTTATTATAATACAGTATATAATACATATACCATACAAAATATATGTTAACTATGTTATTACTAAGGCTTCATGTCAACAGTAGGCTATTAGTAAAGTTTTGGGAGTATCAAAATTTATATGGGATTTTTAACTGTGTAGGGGGTCCATGTTCCTAACCCACATGTTGTTCAGGAGTCAGCTGGACATATAAACACTTATTTGTTTAAATTCTCATTTAGGACATCTGTTTGATTCTGTAGGTATTCTTTCTATCCTTCTCTACTCTGTTCTCCAACCTGAGAAACTTATCTAGCAGGCCATCTCAGTGGGTGTCCTTACTTCCTGGCAGCCTTCAGCCAAAAGAGAGCCCCAGCAGGAGATGGGAGCAGGAAAGATGATGAATGAGGTCAGTGGGCTCAAGAACATTTAGTGTTTTATTTCCCAGTTCTCTCCCTGGGGATCACCTGGGTCTAACTGTGCCAAAAGGCACAAGTCTCAGAACAGCCTTCTGCACAGGATTTTCCCTGCCCTGGGTTCCTAAAAGCTCTACAAAGTAGAGTGAAACACATTTTCATACACCAAATCTCTATGATTCCCAGAAAGAGCAACTATACCTATTCCCTACGTATGGACCAGATATATTTCTATCCCTATACATACTCATAGTGGCAGAGAATTTGTTATTTTTGCTGTGTTTAGATCATACGATGCATATTCTTCTGTGACGTATCTTTAAATATTTCCCTAATGATAGATATTCAGATTTATTAAACTTTTATATTGTTACCCACAATGATACGATGGACATCCATATATATGATTAATAAGTTACTTTCTTAAAAAATTCTTATTCAGCATCATGTTTTTCTTCATTAAACAATTTCACTTAAAGTCATGATTATACACATGTGTATATATATGAAATATGAACTATTAGAGAATTTTCTTTGAATATTAGCAACTAGGACATACCTTCTTTAAAAGAGTAATATTACATTTTATTCTTTATGTATATATTTTCCCTATTCCTCACAACCACCATGGAATACAGCTATCATTTGTGATCTAACATTGAAACTACAGAGGCTAAGAAATTAAAAAGCCCTAACCTTCAGAGCTTGCAAACAGAACTTTATTTGAATGCAAGGCCCCCTGTTTTTAAACCCCTGCTCTTTGAAACACACCATGCTCCCTCTCCTTAGTAGACAAGATTCTTTATTTATGAAGGAAACTCAGTGTCTAGTAGGGAAGTTGCTCAGGCAGAATACTTTTTCTGAAATGCAATTTTAGGCTTCTTTTCTGGATATGTCCTCTTACTCCATGTAGAATCCCCAGATTTATGTCTAAAGCAAGGGATTTATTTCTAAAGAACAAATAAATGCAATTTATAGGTTTTGAGTTTCAAAAACTAGCCTTGATCACGTGAGGATAAGGCATCAGGAGAGAAAAATCCAGACATAAAGAGCACATTTATAAGAATAAAAATTCAGTCACTCTGCATTTAGACCAGGTACTTATAATGATCTAGATTGTTAGCCTAAAAGTGGGGTTTAGAGGCTATTGTTTCCCCAGTAAGGAGTATTGTGTGTTAGTCACTGACCATACTGGTCACTAGGTCCAAGTCAATAGGAAAGCTGGAGGGAGATAAACCTCCAGATAGTTGGAGATCAAAGAGAAGAGCACATTTTTCTCCAATAAATCAATAAAATCATCCTAGCTGGGGTAAACACTAGAGAGATTTGCTATGAATGTTAGAGCCAAAGAAATCCAGTGCTAGAAACATGTTCCTGAAGAATTTGGCTATTCAGCAAAGGGAGAATGGAATAGTGACCTGCAAGACAGATGACCATGACATGCACCCATGACTGAAACAAAGCCAACTGTGGACTGAAATGAGCACAGTGAAAAAGGGTGCTTATGGAGCCCTGTGAGCATTCAAGGAAAGCACTAATTAGCCTGAGGAAGAATCATCCAGTTGACTAAAAAAGGGAGGAAAGATTCAATTTTATTTATAGGATTTGACCTAGCCTTTCTAAAATGTTTCATTTAAATAGAACGAACAGTAATATTTGAGAAATAGCTCCAGGTAGAGTTATTTTATTTACTATTACTTAAGAATGCTGAAAGTAATAAGCAGTCCACAGGAGTTCTCTATTAATATGATGAACTGTTATAAACCAAAAGGCTCTAACAATAGGTTAGACAAAATAAATTTTTTGTATGTCTTTCCCCGCTGTCTTAAAGCTTGAGATTTAAATAAATCACACTGAGTACCTAAAATAAAATCTACATTGTCCCCATACTACATTATACTTTACTGACACTGTGTTATAACATAATTTGCTTTTTTATGATGTAGATTTTATTGTCTCTCTCTACTTGTCAAATTATAAACTCCATAAAGGCAAAGATCTTTACCTGGCAAATAAAAGTTTCTCTATAATTTGTTGAATGAATGAATAACCAGATGACATAAAATATTTTATGACTACATTTAGATCATGTTGATTCTGACATTCTGGTTTTCCTGACACTTTAAGCCTAAAAATTTGCACAACATTGAAAAACGTCTTCATAAAATAATTTAGATGAATAAAACACGAGACTACAAAACAAACCAAAATCATACATCTCAATGATAATATAAAATAAAATAAGAGGATCTGTAAGCCAGTTTATCTAGGATTTCTTATACATTGTGAAGTAATCATATTATGTGAAGATTTACTTCTCTGCAGCTTTTTATTTCCAGGAGACTACTTCGTTTTTCACTATTAAAAGGAGATAAAACAGGAAAACAATAGAGAGATCTTTTTGAAGAAGACGTTTTGGGTAACCAAAAGACTCACCCTAACTATTAGTGATTCTGTGTTTCAATCACGGTTAGTGAATTAAAATTAGGTAGTAAATATTCTTACTGGTATTTTGTAAATGCTTGTAATTAGAAAGGGACCAAACAACTTAGAACAAATATAATAATGTAGTTTAAGTGCTAGAATCAAAGTTCAAAGAACTTTAAAAATAAACAGTTGTTATTCTTGCCTACCCAAATCTACTTCCTTCCCTCTGGTAAGAGAACCTCAGTTTTCCTTGCAAAACCACCAGCCCCTACTCCATCACCATGCTAGACCGATTTCACTTCCAAGAGTGGGCATGTGACCCAAAACTGGCTTATCAGAGCAGGACATATACTTTCTGGCCAAGGGGACTGATCATAACCCAATCAGTTTAGTGAAAGTTATCCTGAAGCTTTTAATATAATAACTAGGAAAGGGACATGTTCACTGAACTTAGTGTTGGGAAAATGGAAACCTTGAGTTGCTGGTAAGGATGGTGTTATCAACACAGAGGAAAATGCACCTGAGAAATGGAGATTGGTAAAGGGACTGTTTATGGTAATACTGCATGCTTTCTATCTGTCAGATCTCATTCTAAAAGCATCATGTCTATTAATACAATACTCAAAAAAAAAAGATGCCATTATTATACATGTTACAGAGCCAAGAAGACTGGAGTTGAAAGACCTTAGGTAATGTGTGCAGAATCATAGCTAATAAATAGTGGAACCTGAACATGAGGACAACAGAGACTGTGCTCTTGAAACCACACACACCATATTCTTTCCACCTTCTACTTCTCATTAAATGAGTTAATATATTCATAGAGTATATTGGAGTATATTGGAGTTAATATACTCCCCTTTTAAGTCAGGTTTTTTCTGACATTGGCAATGAAAAGTTCTGAATAATAACAGCACTCTAATTAATGAAAGCAGTAACAAGTATGCTGAGCTAACATAAAAGTCAACTATATAATTTGGCCCACCAAACAAAAAATTAACATAAGATAGGCTATATGTGTGTAAATATTAGCAAACTAATATTTACACTAGAACAAACTAGCTAGTCAAGTACTATTTTAAAGATTTTATTTATTTATTTAGAGAGTGTATAAGCAGGGGGGAGGAGCAGTGGGAAAGGAGAGAAAGAATCTCAAGCAGACTCTATACCAAGCATGAAGCCCAACACCGGGCTCAATCTCATGACCCTGAAATAATGACCAGAGCCAAAATCAAGAGTCAGTCACTTAAACTGACTGAGCCACCCAGGCACCCCTAATAGTCAAGTACTATTAATAAGAGTCTTGGATGGAATTTTTGAAGAGGTCAGAATGTGGCAGTTCCTGATATTTGGGGAGAATAATGTGAAATTAAAACTAAGGCTACCTACTAATAGGGTTCTCATTTATGACCAAAAAAAAAAAAAAAAAAAGAAGTATCCTCCTAAGTGCTAAATATTAAAATCTACACTTATAAAAGGACAACAGGCAATATGTTTCCATGTTCAAAAAAATTAAATTTCTTAGCAAAAGTTCAAATTATTTTAGAATCCAAACAATCAGCCAAATCCTACCTACAAGGTATATAAAACTAAGGCTACAACCTGATGGGGTTTGTTGTGGTGGTTGTTTTTTGTTTTTTGGTTTTGTTTTAAGATTTTATTTATTTATTTGCCAAACAGAGATCACAAGTAGGCAGAGAGGCAGGCAGAGAGGGGGGTGGGGAAGCAGGCTCCCCGCCAAGCAGAGAGTCCAATGCGGGGCTCGATCCCAGGATCCTGGGATCATGACTTGAGCTGAAGGCAGAGGCTTTAACCCACTGAGCCACCCAGGCACCCCATTATTGTTGTTTTTAAAATACAGAACACTCAGGGTGCATCGGGCTCTCTGCTCAGCGGGAAGCCTGCTCCTCCTTCGCCGCCTGCCTCTGCCTACTTGTGATCTCTCTCTCTGTCTCAAATAAATTTAAAAACATAAATAAATGATAAATAAATAAATAAAATACAGACACTTCATGAATTTGGGTGTCATCCTTGTGCAGGGTCCATGCTAATCTTCTCCGTGTGGTTCCAATTTTAGTATATGTGCTGCCTTCTGCCAAAGCAAGTGCTATTATCTGACATTTAAAGAGGTGCATTTAAAATCCATTACAGGCCAAGAATGAAATCTTGCCATTGGCAACAACATGGATAGAGCTAGAAGGTATAACGCTAAATCAGTTAAGTCAGTTAGAGAAAGACATACCATATGATTTCACTCACATGTGAGATATAAGAAACAAAACAAGGGGAAAAAAGAGAAATCAAAGAATAGACCTTAACTGCAGAGAACAACGTGATGGTTACCAAAAGGGAACTGTGTGGGAGATGGGTGAAAGAGGTGAAACGGATGAAGAGGCATTTATATTGATGAGCAATGAGTAATGTATAGACTCTTCAAATAATTATATTTTACACCTGAAACTAATTATAACACTCTATGTTAACTATATTGCAATTAAAATTTTTAAAAATTCTATTATAGGCCAAAGTACCTTTTTTGAGTTTGTAGAAATTATATGTGATTTTCCCCACAAAAGTTCTGGAAAAGAAGATTTTATTCTCAGTCCATGCAAGAGATTAACTAGTGTTTATTATCCTTTAAATTTCTATAATTCCTCATAAGGGCTTTAAACCTATAATTTTTCAGGTACCTCCTTTCAGGAAATATTTCCTCCACAGTGAGAGAGTCAGGGTAGACTATTGAGAACCTACTCACCAAATCCCTAGCCCTCTATCTGCCATAAAATTCAGTGATAAAGGAGGCTTTTTCCTGGAGGAAAAAGGAACTAGGAAAAAGGAACTGTCTATCACTGGGCTCAGAGTTGAGAAAATGGAAGCCTGGAGCTGCTGGCAATGGGGGCTTCAACAAAGGGGAAGGGTGACTGGACAGATGGGGATTAAAAAACAGTGTTCTGAAGCTGACACTGAGTAAATATTGCATTTCTGTGATAATTGTTTTATGACTTTAATATAAAAATGTAGTTTGAATATATCTTATTCTTATTATTCAATTCCACTTTAGACTAAAGCTTCATGAATAGAATTCCAATTGTATAAAATTTAGGTAACAATCTTAATATAAAGCCATATAATTTAAGGAAACTCAACTGAGTTAGAATTTGTGCTTTATAAATTTGTCTTCAGTCATGCATGATGGAGCTATCAAATCCAATTAGTACAAATTTACCAGACCTAAAAGAGCAGAGTCCAGAAACAGTGAAAATCTTTCATTTAAATGGATTCTACTTAAATAAAAGGTATTATTTCTGGTCTGTCATACCATGCTTTTAAACACTTAACTGGTTTGGTTAAAGAACAGAACCATTTACTCAACCCCCACCCCCCAGCTCCCTCTATTAAAGTGTAGACCATATCTTCTATTATTTCTTGGAAAACCCTCAAAACTGCAGAAGAAGAGGATGACCATAATTAACCATATTTTTTAATTTAAGGTTTTATTTATTTATTTATTTATTTGTCAGAAAGAGAGAGAGAGAGAACAAGCAGGGAGAGAAGCAGAAAGAGAAGCCGGCTTCCCACTGAGCCGGGAGCCCCATGTGGGATTTGATCCCTGGACCCTAGGTCCATGAGCTGAAGATAGATGCTTAACTCACTAAGGTACCCAGGCATCCCTAAACATAACTTTAAAAAAAATTCCCTTTGGTAAAATCTATGTGGCTACATACCAAGAATTTATATATATGGGTCAACAATTAAAACTAAGTTTAGCTTCAGAAACAAGCAAAAAAAGGAGCTGCTTTTGAAAATTAAGTGCATAAGGTTTACTAAGCTAAGCTGAAGCATGGACTCTTCCAATTGGTTTTGCAAAGTAAAATCTACATGGTGGTAGTTATACAAAGTTTATCTAATGCATCTGTCTGAACTTGCTTTGGTCCAGCAATACAATTTATCTCTCTTTGAAATTATGAAATCAATGGGAAGTGATCATAAAACTTTATGAATTTATGGCTACTTTCCAAACTCTCTTTTCTAAGAACCATTAAATTGCTTCCTAAGGAAAAAGAAACAAAAGTTACAATTCAAGAGAGTAGATCACATGAACTCCAGGGAATCCCAACTTGGTACTAGCCTTCTATTCTTTGGCTCTCTTATGAATACACAAACTTCTGCTTCATATTGCTTTGGAGGCTGCAAAGAATTGTGAATTAGAAGTAAAAGGAGTCACACACCAGATTCTTTTACTCAAATGTGGCCCCAGGACTAGCAGCAATAGCATTACCTGGAAGCTGGTTAGAAATGTTGAATCTCAGACCCTGCCCCCAACTGTCTGAATACGAATCTGTATTTGCAATCCCCAGTAGATTTGTCTGCAGGTCACAATATGAGGGGGTCTCTGAAGTATTTTTATAAGGACACTGTAAGTCCTAAAAGTCTTTGCCTATATACTTTCCAATCTTGACTCTTCTGCCAAATGATTATAGGTTTCATAAGGACTAACCATAATTATATCTAACACTTACTTTATTTCATGCTTGCACTAAATACATTACATAAATTACTTTATTTCATCCTAAAATTATTCCTTCTGAGATTATTTATGAGATAAGGCAGTTATTCTCATACTTGAGCCTGCATCAAGAAGCATGTGAAGGGCTTTTTAAGAAACAGATTGCTCAGCCGGCCACCAGAGTTTTTGAACCAATAAATTTGGGGTAGGCCTCCAAGAACTAACTGGAAAGTACTCAGGTAATGCTGATTGGGACCACTAATACAAAAGCCCTAAATATAAGTCTCTCTCAATTCGACTACCTGGGTCCACATCTCAGATGCAGACTCATTGTCAAAAAAAAAATTGTGTAGTCAGAGAGATTCTCTCTGGGCCCCTCCTTCTCACAGTTGCCACAGCTCATTTTGCCTCTTTTCTCAAGCCACCTGCAAAAGACAATGCACTTTCCCCATCTCTTCTCCTGCTGACTGTCCCCAAGTCTGAAATGTTTTTGGCTTTGATGTTATCAGTGCTAATTACTACAGAGTGATGGATAATTTTTCTGTGTAAAAAGCATTCCAGAAATCTCACAAACCCTCAGAGTTTATTCCCTTGACTTTTACTTCAGGTGTTAATGTGGAATTAAGTTCCCATTAAATTCTTGGGGCCTTTATGTTCAAATAACTCAGATGTACTTCAAAGAAATGACTAATTAAAATTTGCATCTTTGTAAGAAAAAGAGATTGTTGAAATACTTCCACCTACATTACTTCATTTGCTTCTGTCAAGAATCTCATTAAATAGATAAGGTAAATAAAATAATGCTACAAAAAATTAGGAGGAACTGAAAACAAATCAGCAACTGAATAATAAACCTCAGTTTAGGGAGATCCTCCTTTCAGAATAACCATACTTCCATCTTTTTCTACATGTTCAAACAGGGCCATAGTTTCAAAATTATGCAGTAATTGTTATATGTGTGTATATTACATACACCTTAGTTTTATTGTTTTATTCACATAAACATTTCTCAGTTGGAAAGAGTTGTGTTCACATTAGATTTTACCTAAAAGAATCAAGTGTTAGATACTTGGAATAACATCTCCAGAAACATAAAAGTAGGCAAGAAGTTTTTTTTTTGGGGGGGGGTTAGATCAATAATTAGTAATGAAATTCATGCTTATGTTTCTTCTCCCCTAGGTTCTGAAAGGGATTCTTTACATAGAAGTCATACCCATTGCTTTGAGTATTAAGTGGGAGATAAATATTTTTAATTTCCACCTTCAGGCAACTAACCCAATAGTCTGCTAACACATTAAACTAAAGAAGAATAAAGACAGTGGTTAAAACATGGCCTAACAAGCCTGCTGTGAACCCATATATTAGTTTTTAAAATATATTTACTAAAAAACAAGGAAGTTCTGCTATTTGAGACAACATGGATGAACCTGGAGGAGACTATGTTAAATTAAATAAGTCAGACAGACAAATACAGTTGGTCCTTGAACAACATAAGGTTTAGGGGCACCAATCCCCTGTGCAATCAAAAATCTACACGTAACTTTTGACTTTCCCAAAACTTAACAACTAATAGCCTAGTCTTGCCTGGAAGCCTTACTATAACATAAACTGTTGGTTAACATATGCTTTATATGTTATATTTATTATATATAATATTCTTATAATAAAGTAAGCTAGGGAAAGAGAAATGTTATTAGGAAAATCATAAGGAAGAAAAAATATATTTATAGCACTGTAGTGTAAAAAAATCCACATATAAGTAGATCTGCATAGTTCAAAACCACGTTGGTCAAGGGGTGACTATACCACAGATCTCCGGAGACAGAATTAAGATGGCAGAGGAGCAGGGGTACTCTAGGTTGCCTCATCCCCTGAACACAACTACATAAACATCAAATCATCTGGACACCCAAGAAATCAATCTGAGAACTGAGAGAGCAAAACGGCACAACTAGAGATAGAAAAAAATACCATATGGGAAATGTAGCAGAGTTACAAATGAATATCTAAATGTGCTAAGTATAGTAGCTCTCTCTGTGTATTGATTCAAATGTTCCTATTTGGATAATTCAGTCACTTTCAGTTTTAAAATTGCCTTTCAGTTTAATTTCTATTTCCTCTGTTCCTGTCCAAGAAGATTTTGGTATTGGAGCAAGTCTTACGTGAACAAATTTGGAGTAAGGGTGATCTCTGGCACCATGATGATGGTTTTTTGAAATCTGCTGGTGGATGTCAATGGGGGTGCAGCTGATTGGGCGCCCATCTTAGGGTATTCTACCATTTACATGGCTATTATAACCAAAACTCATTTCATTTCTATCTACATGAGGAACAAGAATATCTGCCTGACTAACCTGACCTTATATTGATTCATGTTAATGCTATAAGCCACTTTGAGTCTCTGCTACATCATCAAACCAAGACCAAGTCTAGGATGTGGGCCATTCCTTGCCTCATCCCATGCCAGACCCCATAGCAACTCAGTTATGTAGGATTTCACCATGTGGAGACATAGGGAAATACCAGAGTTTCTCCTCCCATCAGAAAACTAAGCAAAGCTCTATGTGCAACCTAAGCCCTCCTTTTATTGTCTCTTT